ACAAAACTGACAATACTTTATTCCCTCCTCTCTGCCCTTTTAGTCCTCAGAGTCCAGTTTAGCGCCCTAAGATCCCACACTTGCTCTGTCTTCTCAATCTCATAGTCCCATGTCTTGGCCACCATCATCCTTTCAGCCAACAAGGTCAGGGGGAAGCTCCTTTCTTAGCCCCTAAGTGACATGAAGCACTCTTTTGTGTATTTGCAATAATCGAGTTGGTCAGACAAAGGTTCATTCGTGGGATTAAAAGGTAATGCCCAGTAAATGAAAGAATACCATACATTATGCCTATAATGATTACAGTCTTAGTGCTGCTGTTCTCATTCAGGCAAATATTACTGTGGCCTCTATGGAAGTTTTGGGTATGCAAAGAATACAGCTCCAAATTCAGCAATGAAACACTAGGAAAAACCCTACAATTTATTCAAAGTTGCATCTCCTTCATCAACCACAATGAAAAGTATGGAAAAGAGGCTCCACCATAGAGATGTATTAAGCTGTAACATATTTCAGCTACTATGCCATGACTGAAGGGAGCATGACCAATACTTAATATGACGTACACATATACCACCCTGTCCTCCGTACTCTCTACCCTGAAGAATGTGGGGAAGTATGTGTGCTTTACCAGCAAACACAGATTTCAAACTCTCTTGTAACAGTGACCCTCTGTACAGAACAAATTCAAAAATTACTCAGCTGCAAATAATTTATCTCTCAGTAGAAAGTCTAACATAAAATCCATTTATAAGAAGAGGATACAGAAAATCAGAAATTGATCTTTATTTTACATTTTTATATATCTCAAAAACAGTAAAATTTGATAGATTTTGGAATACAGATTGCATTTCCGCATTGATTTTTTTAATAATTTGGTTGCTAAAAAACGTCAGTGAAAAAGCTGTGTTTAGCATAGCTGAAGTGATTGAACTAAGATTCAATTTTTGAATGAAATACTCTCATGGTGATGTTCCTTTGATTACTGCAAGAGTAAAATCAATTCAGGCATCTGTTTTGCTTTGCAAAACATATAACAGTGTCTGTTAAAAGAAAAGGAAAGAATAAATGAACCAGTCATTTTCCTTTCTGAATCAAATCTCTTTGCTCATCCTAAGAATTGCCATCCACTTCTGAATCTGTGAAATTTCAAAACTTTGTGAAATGTGATGGAATAAAAATACTTAGGTCCAGAATTTGCTCTTTATGTAACTCTTGAGTTAACTCTACAGAAATCAATAGAAATACTCCAAAACTACACTAGTGTAACTGAGAACAAATTTGGCCATTTGTGAAAAGCTTCCACATCACCATACTGCAAAATGTGACAAAATAGCTCTTTATATCCAAGTCCAACTCAAATATCTGCTTCAATAAGAAAGGGTAGGTGAGGCCAAGTCTCCAAGCTAAGTTCATCTTTTGGCAGCTACTATTTAGAAGACTGCTGAAAAGGCAACATTTTCCTTGTACCAGGGCAAGAGAGGTCAGTAAATGCAATCCAGCCGTTGCAAATAACACCACGAGTAAAGTTACAGAAAAATGAATGTGAGACATAGAAGGGAACAAGTAATTTTTACACCAGTGGCTCTCAAAGAGGAAAAGCAGTGGGGCTTCACTGTGGAAAATGCAAACCTCACTTCCACATAGCAGAAAATCACGAACTTGAAGATCATGTATGTGAACAATTACTCAGTTTGCAAACCTTATTTGACAAGTTTTAGACAATGTACAAGTTTCATTGTCCAAACCAAGTCCCCTTAGGCCAGATTCTACACCCATATTCTGACTGGCAATGGAGCCCCATATACACACAAAAATCCCCTCCCCTTTACACAGATTATAATCTCTACATGCAGCAAAACCACCGCTGAATATGGGACTCTAGGTTCAAAAGCATGCAAGCCAAACACCCTGCCCCATAATGTCCATCCCCAACTTCTTACCTGGAATTTTGAAGGATTAGCTTTCCTTAGCATAGGAGGGTTTTCTGAAGAGTGCTTTATGTACGCAGTGCTCTGCTAGAATTTGGCCAGTATACTGAAGATTTCAGTCTCTCTTTGCTTCTATGACCAGATTCTGATACCCTTACCCGTGCTCACTAGTCCATTACTCAGTAAATGGTTCTGCTGAAGTCAGCGGGACCTCTTTTGGCATGAGGTGTTTTTACATCACACATAAGGGTGTCAGAATCAGGCACATACTCTTCAAAGTATAGCAGGTATGTCATCAGAGGACGGCATAAGCACAGACAGAGCTGTGCAACACAAAAAAAATTCCCAGTTCCAAGTCATCCTGTAGATTTAAAACAAAAATTAGAAGTCAACCAGCATTCTCACAGGAATCCAAATTGCTCCAGAAAATTTGTATGGGACAGTAGTTATGTGCTGAAAGGCATAATTAAAGCTATAAATATTGTGTAATACTTCTGCCCAGTCAGGGGAGACTGTCCATGTGATAACAGCCATACTTCCCTAGAAGGTTTCAAACAAAACTGGAAGGCTGACTAAATATTAATAGAAAGAGATTCTGATAAGAATGGAGATATTAAAGGCTACAGTTCAAATCGATCCTCATTCTGTGCAATTTAGATATCTCAGAATCGGCATCTGAAATGATAGAGGTCTATATTCACTTTGATGTTTACTTCATTTTTTTTTCTATTTTGGAAAACCCTGTATGTTTAAAGTTTATTCTAATAATTATTTGACATGTGGTCTCATTTCCTCACTCTTTCAGGAAATAATTTAACTTCTGTAGTGGAGACGATAGGGGCTCAGTTCTGTGTATTCTGCCCCCTTTCTAGAGTAATTTAGGTCTGTTTCTGACACTCTGCAAAATAATTGATGAAGAATGTTTTCATTTAGGAGGAGAAAATCTACACAGCACAATAAAACATCCCTACCACCATTCTGGGGCTGAGAAGAGTATTTTACATCACACAAGCCCAAGTTGTATCAGTCTTAGGCCATATCTACACTACTGGTTAAACCAGCACTGCTCTGATCAATGCAGCGGTGTCAATTTAGCAGGTCTGGTGAAGACACTCTAAGTCGATGGGAGGGCACTCTCCCATTAGCATAGCACGGTGTAGACACCTCTGTAAGGCAACCTACATTACATCGACTTCAGTTACATAACTTATGTAACTGAACCACCATAATTTAGATCAACTTACAGAGTTAGTGTAGACCAGCCCTTAGATTCTCCATCTGTAAAATGGCTATAATACTTATCTACCTCACAAGGCATATTGCAAGGCTTGATTAATATTTGTAAAGTTCACTGAGACTGACTCAAATTCATAGTAGCCAATGAGAGTCTTTCCACTAACTTCCAAGGGCTTTGGATCTGGCCTCTGGAGAGCCTTGGATAAAAGATGAAAGGTAACGGGCAAGGATAAAGGATTGTTATAAATCTTTTCCCAACCCCAGTTCCAACTGTCTCCTAAACACTTTTCTAATTCATTTTACCTCATGACTTATTGTGTGTTTGGTCATTTATCTGAATCTGTTTAGATGGAAAAGCTATGTTAAGGAAAAAGTAAAGTTTATAAAAAATATAGTAACCTATTACACCCAAATCTAGGATTTAGTTGTAAAATTTATAGTAGGGGAACCACAATCCTCCTGCCATTTCATTACAGTTCAGCATGTAGCTCTTTGCCAAGAAACAAGACACTACTTCTTTCTATGATAAGAGGCGACACTCCTTTCCACAGCATTCCTCTTCAACTTAACCATGGAGAACAGTGATTCAGCCTCACCACAATAAAGGGAACTGATATAACACAGGTAGCTGTCAAGTGTTGCGAAAGATTTCAATAAATAAAAAAGAATCACTTTAATTGTGTAGAGAGGAACAATTCTATCATGAGAATATAATTTTGTCTTGACTTAATGGTTCAGCCATAAAAAAAAAAAAAGCAGGACTATGAAGTCTCCCAGTTTTCCTGCCAGTGGTAGCGACACCATAACGTTTTGCTTGGCTAACAAGATAAAGATACACTTTCACAATTAATAAGTAAAAGACTTGCCTTGATTTAACACTTAAACTACACATATAACAAAGGGCAAAGTAATAAATGTTGGTGTTTAAGAAGACAGAAGCTCTGCAGCTGTGCTTGGCTCTCTAACCCACATGATCTCTTCATTTATGTTTAACATCTTAATGAAGGAGAGAGGTTCTCTTCAAAGAAACCCGTATCACTCAAGTGGGGAGGATAATTGCCAGTACAGGATAGTTCTAGCCTAAGCGGTTGTCCTCTACAGCTATGCTAATGACAGCGATAGGCAGAGCCAAAGATTTATTGTTATAGTTCTGCAAGCACACCTTCAGACGAGCTGCATTCAGACGAGCTGCACTGTAAATAGAACGCATGGCAGCTTTCAGTCATTAGGGATGACCATGTGCAACCCCACTTGTGAGTTCCATGATTATCCCTAAATCGCAAGAACAACAACTGTTACCCACAATCACATTTAAATAACTAAAGCAAGTAGAGATGGGCGTGAACCAAGTCCTGGTCCCAAACACCCCTGCACTTGGAGCGAGCAGATATCAAAATGCAAACCTTCAAATGCAAAATGCCTTCAAATTTTGCAAACAGCCCTGATCTTTATAATGAGCCAAACACGAAACCTTAAATACAAATATCCCCAAAGGCTGTGAGAGTTTGAAATCTAAACACAGACCCAGATCTGAATATTTTGGTTGGAGCCCATCTCTAGGTACAAATTTAAACTGAAAGAATTAAGAGTAATTAAAGGAAAATGATACACCATCTGGTCAGTGAAAAACAACATCAGTTTATTGTCCCCTTGCTCTTAAGGAATAGGAGTGGCAGGGGAAAGACTCCCTTACAAACAAACAGCGGAAAGGGATAGAGAAAAATGACAGGAGAGGGTCAGAGGTGGTTTGTCCGAGTCATCTCAGTTGCTGTTCCTTCTCAGATTAAGGATGTGGTGCTGGCAGTGCTTTTGCATTTTCCTTCTTGGCAACTGAAAGGGGAAAAAGAGCAAAATTAATAACTGCAAGCAGCAAATACCAACTGATGGATAAGAACCCAGCAAACTAGAAGAGTGTTGGGCTGCTACTCAGAGGTGGCAGCTATGCTTTCTAATTGACTAGACCATGAGGATCATGGACTCCTGCAAATATCTGATTTGCTATGTGATACTGACACAGAAACAGTGACAGGAGACATGGGAAAACCCACTGATGGCTTTGATACCACTGTTCAGGATGCACGAAACTTCTTGTGGAGGACCATGATAATGGCACAAAAAGAATCACTCATATCTTAAGCCACTGGGAGATCTCAACTTAAAGTGCAGTTATGGTCAGAAAAATGATTGTAAAAAGGCACCTTCTTACTGAATAGACCTGTATTCAGAGTCTGGTTTATTCACTTTGGTGACAAAAATAAGATTTTACCACTTTTTACTCCCAGTAACACTTCAGAGCCAATACAGCTATGGGAGAGTGAGCAGATTCCGTTCCAAGGGCATCATCTACAGAACTGTTTCGGCTGCAGACTCTTAATTACTAAGGATGCTGCACAAGCCAGGAAGAATCCAGCTTGACTTTGACTTCCCATATTGAGCTGGCAAATAGAAAAACTTTTTTCCCATAAACAGAATAAATATGATATAGAGCCATTGAGAAACACTTTTCAAAGCATAGGCACACTTCAAATATTACTTAAACCCATATCAATGCCTACCTTTGTGAAATGATGTCCATCTACTTACAGCCAGTCAATAATGCTCCAAAGGCAGAGAGTTCTTGGTGGACTCAGGACTTGCTTGCTCAGAGTTCTTGATGATTTATAGGAAGGAGTTTGTCTTGAGGAAAGCTTAAGCTGCAAAACTATACCTCAGAATGCAGGTGTTCCCTATAACAATGCCAAAGTGTCAGTGGTGATCACCAGAGAGGGACTGGATGGACTGAGTACTAGTGAAATTCACCTGCACCACCAGAGAATACAGCCTTTCACAGGACAAGTTAGGACAATGTTGGCAAGCCAGATTCTTCTGTTTTCTTAAGGCTGAACCTGGATAGGCAGAGCTCTCCTGGCATTGTTGACTTAGTGACAAGGCGACATTAAGATCATAGAGTCTGGTGTAAAGCCTAGAAAAATGATTAGTCAGGAAAGTTCTAAAGTTCAAATGGCTCAGATGAACTAAGTAGATTGAACGATCTGAAAAAAGAAAAGGAGTATTTGTGGCACCTTAGAGACTAACCAATTTATTTGAGCATGAGCTTTCGTGAGCTACAGCTCACTTCATCGGATGCTGTAGCTCACGAAAGCTTATGCTTAAATAAATTGGTTAGTCTCTAAGGTGCCACAAGTACTCCTTTTCTTTTTGCGAATACAAACTAACACGGCTGTTACTCTGAAACCTGAATGATCTGAGTTTCTCAAACCTAGTGACCTATGAAGTGTGTCATCTAGGCACAACAAGCATGCAAAACCCATTATTTGGTATAGATTCCATTACAGATCCCATCAGTATGGTTACAATCCGTAGGGCTGGAGACAGTTCAAAAATCTTAACTGCCATTGTAATAATTTGTGTTATTGGGCAATCTTTGTTAATAAATAACCTGAACAGGCGAATGTTCTCAGTGACACCTTCCACTGCTGAGGTGTTAGCTTAGAGCTTTCCATTAGTCTACTGGTTGAAAAGCCTCAGAAAACACACAGATATAGAAAGAACCACCCCTTTCAAAAACCAGGGTTTTAAGCTACTCATCCACCCAAGGAAAATATTTGAAGAACAAGGCTGCCTAGAATGACTCTGTGCTGAGAGAAATTATCTAAATCTAAAGGTGGAAGGAAATGATGTAGCTATTCATTTGAAGCAAGCCAGATAAAGTGTCACGCAGTTGAGCTAATATGCCATAATAAAGTTTGATAAAAGGTCAAACGCATCAATTACAATAATATATACATCTTTGTTCTGATACCACACAGCTGGCATAGGGCAGCTGGGTCTTATGTTTACGGTAGTAGTGGAGTGCTGGAGAAGGTCTTGGTGTTTTCTTTTCAGGGAACCATAGAATGAAAACTAGCTATACCTCTTATTAGTACATTTCAGTAATTTAAGAGGGACATTGGTGTGTTGATTATTTAGTGTTAACATCTCACTGGCCCCACCCAGGTACTGGAGCTGAAGTTAGATTCCTGATGAGATACGTGGGTGAAGCTCACACACATGTTGGTATATTTGTTTTAGCCTGCTGGCTCAAAATAACCAGCACTGCAAAGTGTTATACAACGGAGGCTTTCTTTGCAACTTGAAAAGAATAGGGGCTTGCTTTTTTTAATGCTATTCTAGTTTCTTTAGAATATATAGATTCTCTGTGCCTATGGCTTTTGAGTACCTTACATTGACTGACTAAGGGCCCTTGCAGTGGACTGAAATAGGCCTTAGACAGAATTATAACAGTGGATGTTATTCCATGCACACATTCCCAAAGAACCCACTGATCTTAGGCAACTGAGCCACTACAGTGCCAACTGGTTAAGGAATACAGTAGCCCCTCAGAGTTACGAACACCTTGGCAAAGGAGGTTGTTCGTAACTCTGAAATGTTCATAACTCTGAACAAAACATTACAGTTGTTCTTTCAAAAGTTTACAGCTGAACATTGACTTAATACAGCTTTGAAACTTTACTATGCAGAAGAAAAATGCTTCTTTTAAGAATCTTCATTTAAATGAAACAAGCACTGAAACAGGTTCCTTACCTTGCCAAATCTTTTTTTTTAACTTTCCCTTTATTTTTTTAGAACAGTCCTGTACTGTATTTGCTATTATCTCTGCTGCTGCCTGATTGCTGCCTGATTGCGTCCTTCCGGTTCCAAGTGAGGTGTGTGGCTGACCAGTCAGTTCGTAACTCTGAGGTTCTACTGTAGTTGTTACCAGTTAGGTTGCTCCGATTCCCCCTGCAGAGGTGCTAATGTCTGGACAGTTATTCCCTTCTGTATGGTAATGAGCAGTGTAAGTGGCTGGCTCCACTTGGATTTCATCTCACACTTGCAAATGGCTGATGCCACTCAGGACTCTCCAGAATTCTGGAACTAGATTTTGGAACCTGTACCTTACATAAATCTCTTTAACGAATGAGAAGCCAAACTTCTGTGAGTTGTCTGAGTTAGTGTGAATTTGGCAGACTGAACAGCAAACTTGTGGAGCCCGGCAGCCTTTAAATTTCTTTGTTTTCCTCAGGTTCATTAAACACACAACAATCTGTTACCAGATGATGGTTCCTATATGTGGAAGCTTCAAAGGAACCAATTTTGATAGTTCCAGTGGAAATATGGAAATACTGTACAGAGAGGGGGGGAAGGGAACTCTCCTTCCTGTTCTTCACAATTCATCAGTGCAAAGGGACACACTAGTTGCATCCACTATGCTAAATTAAGGAAGCTTTGGAGGGAAGTGCTCTAGCAATTTCCTTTTGCTATTGCCAACTACACTACAATGCTCAGCTCTAAATTTGGAACATCAGAGTATCCATCAGAGCTGATGGAACTTTGTGAAGCTTCAACAGGGATGGGATGTAAGGGAGTGAGAGGATGAAAAGACAGATAGGACATATGTGTTACATATGACCCACCATCTGAGCTATGTGGACAGACTGGATGCAGATGCCTTCATAAGTCAAGAGCAAATGAGCATGACAACATTACTTATATCTTCAAAAGTTTCTCAGGTCTTTGGGTAATGAGGAAAATCTAAGGGTCACAAGTAATTCCACTAATTTCAGTCAGACTACTTGAGAAGTAAGGCACTACACAGTGAGAGTAAGACTGGCAGAATTTGACTTGTTGTTTTAATGAGACTCACAGAGTAAGACTACCCTATATGAATAAAAGTGGCAGAATCTGTCTATTCAGGAGGGGGTTAATTTTGTGACGAGTTATAGTAGCTGTTGCTTCAGCCTGTCCATGTTTTCTCACATAAAGTCTTCCTCTTTGAAGAAGTCAAAGCAACATCCTGCCATGACTGTCCTTTGAATCAAAGCCAAGTAGCACCTAAAGAAGCTGCTTTCTTGAAAACCATTCTAGTGAGATATATTTGGGGGTCTAGTATTTATGTTTATAGTTTCACTTGCATTTTAACACCTCAGGGAGCCATTTATGGGGGTGAAATAATACAAAATCTGGTATTCTCATAGGTTTCAGAGTAACAGCCGTGTTAGTCTGTATTCGCAAAAAGAAAAGGAGGACTTGTGGCACCTTAGAGACTAACCAATTTATTTGAGCATAAGCTTTCGTGAGCTACAGCTCACTTCATCGGATGCATACTGTGGAAAGTACAGAAGAACTTTTTATACACACAAACCATGAAAAAATGGGTGTTTACCACTCTCATAGTATCATTCTCATAGTATTTCAGTTCCTGGAGGGTAGAAACAGCAGGAGACTAGAACTCTTATAATTCTGAACCTATAAGGGGCTCCCTGAGGGCCACATTGGGGAACTCTTATTCACACATACTCAAATGAATAGCTCCACTAAACTGCTGAGATTACTCATATGAGCAAGTGTGCCCCAACAAAGTAAAGCAATCTAATCTGCCTCTGAAGTATTAGAAAGAGATACTGAAAAGCAAACACAAATGAAATATCTGCTTGTATTCAGGCTGAACCAAGCACCTTATTTTCAGCTTTCTTCAAATGCTGCCTCTGAGATACTGCTCAATTCCCTTCAGTGTTGAGTCATTTAGAATTGCATGCACATCCACGAAAAAGAAAATCTGCATTTTCCCATTGATACCCCCAACAGCAAGCTGACTTTGTAGTATTTGCTAGGGAATAATTATCTACTTATGGTATTCAAAAATAATTATTCTGAAGTCTATATTAACATCAAGTCAGAACGAAGTTAAGGCTCAGGCTGAAGTTTATTTTAGTCCATAATTTCTCAACCTTCTTTCATACTCCAGCCTTCTCTTGGTGGCTTCTATCCCCTCTCACTTCTGAGCGGTTTTGAGGAAAGAAGACTGTGGTAGCAAGGCTGTGGTGGCATGAAGTGAGGCAGCAGCTTCCACAAGTGCTTCTAGCCATCTCCACAGAAGAAAAGTGAGAAGTTTCAGTCCATTTTGAGCCATGATTTTTAACTAAGGGCTCCCAGGAGCCTCATCCAGCATATCTCCGATCTCACCACAGTTCTCTTCCGAAGCAACATCTTGAGAAGAACTGACCCAATGCTGAATCCTGACAGCTTCAAAGCTGATGACAGTCCCTGTGCTATTTGGATAAACAACTGTGCCAGCTGTTTTGTCAGTGCACAACAATCCTCAGTACAAACACAGAAACTAGAAAACTCATCCCTGTTATACGGGAAAATCCATATCAACATGTTGCATGGGCTAATTACAGTACTGCCAACTCCAAGCGTTTGAAAATCATGAATTAGGCTGCCCAAAATCATGAGATTGGTTTAAAAATCATTAGATTTGTTTTTTAAATGTTGGGTTCTTTCCCTTTGTCTACTGGTTTCTGAGCCTTTAGGGAGCATTTGCTTCACATTTTCAAGCATTCCTTGGCAACCATGCCTCGGCTCATAATGCATATCTTTGCATGAGAAGCTCAGCTTTCATTTAAAATCTCTTGATTCCAGCAGTTGGGGATTTAAGAAACACACATTGCGAGAGTTGGCAATACTGTAATTACCTAATATTACTTGATTAACGTACATCAACCCCTTTTTAGAAACATCAACATTTGCATGTATTTCCTTCCAATGAAAGGACAAACCAAAGGTCTATGATCAGATACTGGTAACCATTTCTTGGCTTCTTTGTGAATTTAAAGAAACCCTCTCAGAATTGTGTGCGTGACTGGGTTGTCCAATGCAAAAAGACTCACATATAAGCTCTACT